GCCCGACTTAAGGCAAGCTCTCATATGCACCGAGTGTGGATCTTTTATAACACAAGGCAGGCCAACCTCCTCACGCTCGAATGCCTTGTACCCGACAAGATGCCGGTCCGTGCTGCCAGGAATCTCAAGCTGTTCCTCGGAGGTCGGCGCACAGGGGACGAAGGGAAGCCCGACTCCCGATTTCTCGTGGCCGCTCGGCATCTCGACTCTAATTCGCTTCTCGTCGACTCGTTGAGCGGTTCACGTCTTTGTCTTTTGGGTGGTTCCGTGGCGACGGAGAGAGGCGCGCGCGCCCGCTCGCGCGCGCACCCCCGCCCGCCTCAACCTCAACACGCAAGACCACCCCGCTCCTGCTTCCTGCGTCGCGCCCCAGCCGCCGTGATCCTTCTGGTGGGTGGGTGGGAGGGGTGTCTTTGGACATCTGGGGGGCCTAGCGAGGCCGCCCATCAATCTGTGCACGCCTGGCGCCCACTGGAGCTCGGCGTCCGCCAGGCAGACTCAGACTCCTTCTCTCCTCCTTCTCCTCCTCCTCCTCCTCCTCCTTGTCCCCCTTCTCCTGAACTGAACTGAACTGATAACCACCATAGACTGCGAAAACGTGGGGCGGGGTGTTCCTGGATACCGGCCGCACCGTGAACAAAAAAACACAGACATGAGAAACACAGGTATTCTCAGCAGGCCGCTATCGAGGTCCCACTGGGTCCATTCACGTGCATAGGCCTGTGGGAGCCCCTGAAGATGAGCCAAAGATCTAATGAGACGGGATCCGCCGTGGGGCAGCTATAGGCAGCTCAAACCGACGCGCTGCACACCAGCTCCTCCTCCTCCTCCTCCTCCTCCTCTTCCTCCTCCTCCTCCTTCCACCCATTGTGAAACCTCCCCATCCTCCTTCGCCCCTCCTCCTCCCGCTCCTGCTCCCCATCCCATTACTGCCCCCGCTCCTCTCGGGGACGCACGGACCCGGCGTCAATGCAAACCCGGGCCAGTCAGGCTATGCAGGACCCTGCAAAATTCTGCAGGATCCTGCGCTCCAGCCCAGGGCAATCAACTCCTGGCTTGTATGTAGGATCCTGCAGGAGCCAGCACTCTGGCTGAACCCCGTTTGCACCGGCCCTGGCACCGGAAAAGGTGCACGGATGGGCGCCATCGGGGGCCCCGCAGTCTCCGCGCGCCAAGAGTCTGGGTGGCGTGAGATCCGCAAAGGGTCTTACCCAGAAAGAGGGGCGGGATGAGGAGGACAGTGGTAATGATAGTGTCAGTTCAGCGCAAAAGGGGCGCGAGAAACCATCGCGGCCTTCCGCCACGCACGCCACGGCACGAGTGCGCGCCAGCGATGGGGCAATCCAGTCCATGATGGCGTCGATGACCTCTACGATCGCGAGCTATCCGCCCCTGTGCTGTAAGCGCTCATTGGAATATCATCAAGTTCCTTCCAGCGAGCGAACGAACGAACGAACAAGCCATAAGCCAGTAGGCGCGTGGGCAAAAGCATGCGTCTAGTAAGCTCGACGCGGGATCAAGGAAAATGCCGCGAGCAGCCGGATAAAGCACAAGAGGTAGAAGAAGAGGAGGAGGAGGAGGAGGAGGAAGGGGCCAGGAGGAGGAGGAGGAGGAAGGGGCCAGGAGGAGGAGGAGGAGGAAGAAGGGGCCAGGAGGAGGAGGAGGAGGAGGAGGAGCTCCTTCCAGCCCTCCGTGATTACTGAATACCCCCCAGCCTCCGATTGCGCGATTTCCGGGGGCGTGGCGCAGGAGTCTCGCGGGGGCCTGCCGCGAGACTCTCTCCCCGAGGCCGGAGCGCCGGCCGCCTCGGAGAGTGCGGCGCCGAGTGGGCCCCAGGACGGCCCAGAAGGCCCAGGGGAGGCTCCACCGAAGGGGCCCTGGGACACACAAATAAAGACACACAAATGAACAGATTCCCTATAAGTTTCCCCTATTCTCGGGGTTTCTGCCTTCCCCCCCCCACTTCCCAAATTTTCCCACATTTCCCTGGGGAATCGAAGATTAATTGTGTCTGTGTGTTTCTTCTCCTCCTGATCCATAACATCCCGAGAAGGCCTCAAGATGGCCCGGGCAGCCCAACGAGGTGCCCCAGGAGGGCCTCAAGAGGACCCCACAGAGGGGAACAAGAGGACCAAACCATAGGTTTCCCGAATGTGTTTGAATGGTTTTTGGCGTTCTCACCTTTTCAGGGTTCTATCGCTTCAAACTGGCCCAAGAAGCTCCCAAGGGCCCTAAGACGGCCCAGGAGACCGCCAAGACGGTGAGAAGGCCCCCAAAGGGGCCCCAACAGTTGCCCAAGAGGGCGGAATTCGATCTGACTTTGGTTGCATTTCATCCGCAGATGTCCCCGAACACTCTCAACATGCCCCCCGGAACACGCCAGAAACACCGAAGAGGTAGACAAGAGGCTTCCCAAAGGTCCCCACCAGCCTGCTATAGGCCCCTAAGAGACCCCAAGAGGCTGCAAGAGGCCTCAAAGAGGCCCCCCGACACGCATCCAAGAGATCCCAACCGATTTCAAAAAGACCATTGACCCATGACCCAAGCACGGTGGCGAGATAGGCCGAAGGTCACTCGATCACTCGATCCTCTTCTCCCTGTAGCTTGCCACAGAGGTGCACGCCGTGCCGGATGTTGGGTAAATTCCGACGTGTTTTGAAAGTTTCCTGGGGCCTTCGGCCCAACCCGCTGGCCACCCAAAACGACGCGCAGTAACGCGCAAGGATGGAACAAACGGGAAAACTCGCCTCCGCGAGGACATGTCAACTTCCCAGGTCGCCGGTCCTCATGCTCCATACGGTCCTAAGTAGGCCTCAAAAGCGGCCAAGATGGTGTCCAAGACGGCTACGATGGCCCACAGAGAACCCAAGATGGCCCCGAGATGTCTCAAAAACGAGCCGAAATGCCCTACAGATTGCCTCAATACGGCCCAGGAGGCCTCCAAGACGGCCCAAGAGCCCGAGAGGCCTTCAAGAAGACTTCTAGGAAGACCCGACGGGGCACAAATAAATGATCTTCCATAGATGTGTGTGAAGGATTGTGGCGCTTTCTCATGTTCGGCTCTCCCACGGGCCAAGACGGCCCCAGAGGCCACCAAGATGACTCCAAGAGCGCCCAAGAGGCCTCCGAGATGGCCCCGTGACGGCCCAAGAGGCCCCTAAGATGGCCCAAAGAGGGCCCCAAGACGGCCCAGGAGACGTCGAAGACGCTCAGGTTCGTCTACAAGGCGGCTCTGAAGAGCCCCAAGAAGCAAGAAGGCCACAAGACGGTGTCAGATGGGCCAGCCTTCACAGGCCCCCAAGAAGCCCAGGGAAGCCCCCGAGAGGACCCCAGAAAACTTCCAGGTGCCCAAGAATGCCCCAGGAGGCTCCCTAGAGGCCTCCTCCTCCTCCTCCTTTTCCATCTATGCCCACGACGTGTTTCCCGATGAATTTCCACAACGGCTGGGGGAACAGATGCTTCGACATATTGGCCGAGCGCTGGCCGCAACGTTCGGCCACATAGTCGTAGGCTCTTCCAAAGGGCAATGGGCGGCGGTAATTCGCCGTAGGCGTCTTCGATCTGCCACCCTCTGTTGCCTACAGGACGGGATGTCAGCGCGCGGAGAATTACCTAATTGCTTGAGCCATTCCAGAAGGTTTTCAATGGGGTGGCTGCCGATCCAGCCGGCACACCTGAATATAGATCTCCCGCTGGCCAAGGAACAGGCACTTCCTTACAAAATGCCAAAATGGTCCCCGTATGCCTCCGAAGTGGCATCCACGACTAGCCCGAAACGCTCCCAAGATGTACAGGATATCCCAAAGAGAGAAGCGAAAATGGCCACACTATGCTGCCAAAATGGCCCTGGTGGCCGCAAGACGGCCCAGAAGGCATCGGATGCGCTTCAACTGCTCTGCCGGGAGGCCCACAGGAAGCCAGAACCACAAATGCTCTGCATGTGTGTCTCAAGGGCTTCAGCGTTCTCGCAATTCCGGACTTCCAGCAGACTCAGGCAACCCAGACAACATCGAACCGATCTCCCCCAAACACCCCCATACGCCCCAAAGCGGTCGCGACGAGGGACACGCCCGACTTGGGAATATCTTAAATGAGTCAACACACATAGTCGGGGGACGATGTTTCGATCTTTTTGGGGACCAATGTTCGATATGCTTTTCGGCCATGTCTGATTTTTCCTCCAAAACCTTCCGATCGGCGACATGCCCGGCCTGACGACGGCACACTGCGGCCCAACATGCCCCAAAGACGACCCCATGCGGCCCCAAAGAAGACCCGCGGCCCCAAAGCGCCGACGCCGTGGAGGCCCACAGGAGGCTCACAAGGGCCTCCGAGGCCTCTTCCTCGCTTCCTCTTTCGCCACCTCTCCCCTTCCCACGCGTGCCCCCTGAACCACGTTTCCAAGGCGAGGAAGGGAGAGCGTGGCCCAATGGCGCGGCACGGCCTCGGCCCATCAGCTGGCCACGCAAGCGCTTCAAAAAGGAGGGGGGGGCGGTGGTTCGCTGCATACGTTTTCGCTACAGCATTGAGGATCCGGCGAGGCTGGGCGCGAGACGACAAGGGCGGAGAAGGAGGAGGGGGAGCACGAGGAGGAGGAGGAGGAGGAGGAGGAGGAGGAGGAGGAGGGGAGGAGGAGGGGGAGGATGAGGAGGAGGAGGAGGAGGAGGAGGTGGAAGGCAGGATGAGGAATATGAGAGTTGCACGAGGATGAACCAGACGACGCGCAATGGAAGAGGAGGGAGCTCAGTGGAGGAGTCGCAATCGAGGAGGAGGAGGAGGAGGAAGAGGAGGAGGAGGAGGAGGAAGCAAAACGTCCCACTAATGTCCATGCGTCCTTACATCCCCTCGCTAAAGGCCTGGATGACCCCGCTGCGCAAGAGAGCCGTGCACTGGAGGAGGAGAAGAAGGAGGAGGAGGAGGAGGAGCGGAAGGAGAAGGACGAGGAGGATGGGGAACCGGAAGCGCCCTTGCGCCCAAGCCAGCCGTCCGCCCCAGGCTGCCTGAGGGTCCAGGCGCCTGCCGACGGCGCGCTCGACAAGGATAAGGTCGGGCACCTGCGTGATAGGTGGGCCACTGTTCCCCCGCTCATTTCTGCTTCTCTCTCTCTCTCACTATTGTTCTGTCTCTCTCTCTCTCTCTCTCCCTATCTCTGTATACATGTATATGTATGTCTACCATGATCCCTGTCCCTCTCTCGCTCTATCTTTCTCTCGCTCTCTATCTCTCTCTCTGTCTCTCTCTCGCTTTTCCTCTCTGTCCCTCTCTCCCTCTCCCTCTCTCCCTGCGTACATGTATACATGTATAAGTGTTATATGTATGTATATATATGTATATATATAAATATATCATACGCACCTCTCCGAGGGAATAGAGCTCAGAGGCGATTCATGCGTACGCGGGGCGCCGCGTCCGCGGGTCGAAATTATGAAAATCGATCGTGACGTCAGGGCCCCCAAAAAACACAAGGGAACGTCAAGATGTTAACAGAAAGCCTTCAAAGCACACATGGTGATTTCAATAATTTTGACCCCGATTCTGAGAGAATGGCGGTTTCGCCTGAAACATCCTCCCAACATCGAGCCCCGACGTACCCTCTGGTACCCCAGACCCCGCCTCGGAGCCTCCTGGGAGCCTCATGGGGCTTTCTGAACCTTCTGGTGCCCCGGACCCCGCCTCGGAGCCTCTGGGGGTCTCCTGAAACCTCCTGGGGCCTCCTGGGGCCTCCTGCGGCCTCCTGGAGCCTCTTGGGGCCTCCTGAAGCCTTCTGGGGTCTCCTGGAGCCTCCTGAAGCCGCCGAACTACATGCACACACACAGAGACACAAATCACGCCCAACACATCACACGCTAGAGAAACATAACACACACGCAACACCTACAACGCACAGAAAACACTCACAACACAGAGCACACATCACACACACAACACTCACAATGCTGGGGCCTCCTGTATCCAAGTCGGGCCTCCTGAGGCTTCCTGGGGGGCCCTGGTACACACATCGCAAGGTGTGGCAACCCCACTTGCGCTCGAGTGCGACTTCGCTGTTGCACTGCATTCCTGCTTCAAGCGCCCCTTTAAGTTTTTCTGTATGACCCTGGGCACACACACACATACATATGTGTATATATATAGATACATGTACATATGCATATATAGATGTATGGATTGCAGGTTGGGGGGTGTGAGAGGAAGTGGCTCCAACCAGAGTGAGCGTTAAGCCCTTGCACATCTGGATTCAGAAAGTCCTTTAACCCCTCCTCCTGACTGATCATGTCGACGGGGGTTTCGCGCCGCTCTAAGACCGCTGCGCCATCGTCGAAAACCTGCAACGCCTGAGTACCCCCGAGGAGTTGCTCGGCCCACGGGTTCACCACCAAGCCGCCCGAGGCCCTCGAATGCTCGGACTCCTGATCCACGAACTTCCCGAACGCAACTCCGAGAAACTGGACCGACCGAGCAAGGCATCAGTCACTGCTGCAACCGCTTCAACCTTCGCGCAATGAGCTCGACAAGAACGGGGGGCTACACCTACAGTGCGCAACTCCCGTGCATTGCACTCCGTTCCCCACTTGTCATCACTAAAAACAGCCGCGCCCTTTAGCGAGGCTCGCGAACAATTCGCCAACGTGGAATCATCCGAGGCCCAGTCGGCATGGCATGGAGGTGCTGAGCCTTTGGTCAGACACTCCGCTCCAGAAAGACATGCGTTTACAACGTATCCCTTAAACATATTGCATCTCAATTTGGAAGACATGCTAGACGCCCGCGCGTGATCCATGGAAAACCGCGCAGCGCGACCCGCATGAAATCTGAACTGGGTTTCGCGCGGCGTGGAACGGGGGCGCAACCGAGGACCAAGGCGCCGCGCTTTGACCGCGTTTTTTTGTCCCCGGAGGCCGTTGCTGCCTCAGCAGAACCGCCTCGCTGCGACACAATATCATCCTGCTTCGCACGGTTCCGAACCATCTCGACACGCGCCATTCGGGCACCCAGAATTCTGCGCTGGCGAGCTCCAAGGATCCGAATCGACGAGACATCGCACTCCACAGTGAACTTACCGGCAATGTCGCCCACGAAGACGCTGGAGAGAGCATGCGCGCTATTTCTGGGCCACGGGCATCTAACGCTGCGCAACGTCATGTCGTGTGCAACCCGGAGCCCGTCTCGACACATCCTAGCACGCGCGCGGCAAAACGCACGCGCCATGAGGGGATGCCCTGGCAGGCCCCTTGGAAGAAAAGTAAGAGCTGGTCTTCGGGCATGAATAACCTCATCCTGGCCCAAGTGGTCCGACACTGCCCAAGTTGACGATCGGGCGGATCCAACAAGTCCTGCGCGGCCCCCTGCAAACAAACCATTGCAGAATCGGCAATCCGCGCGTCGCGCATCCTCTCCACGTGACATTGCCTAACTTCGTGCAGTATTGGCCAAAAAATATACTGCTGGACAGCGATTGCTGCCTCTCGTCGCCTGCCAGGCAGCCCTCCACGCGCGCGCGAAGGTTCCCCGGATTTTGGGCGGGTGAACAGGGCGCGACAAAAAAACAGCTTGGCCACATTGCGCACAAGGACGATAATGCTCTCGCCATCCACGCCGCATTTGCCATTTGCTTTTGTGTAAACGCACTGCCCCGCGGATCGCCCACTGCCTAGGGGGCGCATGGGCACGACGAAGCCCAAATACAAAATGAGCGGAGGACATGCCGAACATGCATCGTCTTCAGCTTGGGTCGATCTGCGCGAGCACCAATGTCAGCCGCAGTCTGAGGCAGGCGTTCGTTGATCCAGTTCGAAGACAATGCCACTCTGAGCAGTTCAGGCGGCACAAAATTGGTAGGAGGATCTCGCCGCAGTCCTAGTTTCCAGCGACGCTCCTGCATAGCTACTACATCGTTGTTTACCTGATATATCACGTCACTGTCGAGAACCGATGCTGCCTGATGCATATCAGTGTGACCATTCAGTTCACCCCTTGAAATAAGCTGACAACTCGCCCCACCTTGCCCCCCGCCTTCCTGCCTTCGATCCAATCTTTTGCCGCGGTCGAGCTCGGCAGGAACATGTAATGGCGCTTTCTGGGCACCCGACCTTGCTTTGCAATCGCGCGGGCTACCCTATGCGCCTCATGTCTATCATGTCTCCGCACTGATTGGTGAAAAGGCGCCCGCGCGCTCTTCCTGAACTCGTTGCCAATACTGACGCCATTGCTCACGCAACCATGTATTCCGCAACTTAAAAGCATCTGCCAAGATTGCAACCGTACTCTGGACATGCCCATGTGCTTCAGCTTGACTATCACCGCGCACCTGTCCATCTCCATTTGACGCGTTGCGAGGCGCATGGGCAGACATCGGAAAGGGCGCGCTTCCCCCCACCCAATGCGAGCCCACGCAGAGGGCCGCCTCGGAACCAGGAGTCGGCCCAGAGGTCTCCAGGACCTGGGTCGCCAGCAGGGGGCGCGGCGACGAGGCGGGGGCATGGCTGCCTGCTCGCATCTGACAAAGGAGACCGTTCCCACGCCAGCCGTGTAGCGATTACCTGTGGTATATGCGTGTGCTGCAGCGTGCCTTAATCCATCAATGGCCATATCTTTTGCGCGTTCAACCAGCTCGCGCCCAGCGTACCTCTGCGCTCGTAGTGTCGCCTCATGCTCGGCCATGCGATCCTCCGACAGCTGAACAACTTGCGCACGATCTCTACCTCGCTGCCGTAAGACACTCATTGCCGTAGCATCCAGATTGGCACGATCCTTTTGCTCACGCCTGGGCTCGAACACATTGACCGCTCTACCCAGTCCAATCGGGGCATGATCCCACAGCTCCCCTTCCCAATGCACCTGCAAGCGCCTCATCGAAATCCGTAGTTTTCTACAGAATGTGGTGCCGTCCCTCAGGTCGCGAGGAAAGCACGCATAGTCAATGGTCTTGCCGCGCTGCTGAGCACTAAAGTACGTGGGGCCCGCATCGAACTTCGCATGTGCAAACATGAGGTCGTGAGCTTCCAATATCGGTAATAAGGCCGGAACCGCATGCCCCTGAGACTCGTAGAGCCCATATGCACCTACCGCGTCGCTCTCACTTAAGAGTTGAAGCCCATGCAAACGATCGGTGTCCAGCGCGCCACGCGGGGGCACGCGTCGTATCCCATGGTGGTGGTGGAACGTATGTACAAAATGCGACATGGGCCCCGCTCTAGACGTGTGGCAGCAACACGTCCTCGGAGCCCGACCGATACTGGTAGACACCCTGTGTAATGTGTGGGTCAAAAAACATCCTTGCGAAACCATGCACATAGGCCGCAACTTCGGTTGACACGCGCGCTGCTCGTCCAACCACAATTGAATCCCCAAAAATCACCTGTGCGCCACAACCACTCAGGGCCCAACTTCTCCTGCCTCCCCATTAGCGACACGATCCGGAAGTTACGCAGCTCCTGCGGAATGTCCAGCGCTCGCTCTATGCTCGCTGACTGGAGGTTGAAGGACGCTATCGTCAGAACCGGAAGCGCCGCTGAACGCCTCACCAGACGCGCCACGCAAGCTTCTGCATGGAGCTGGACAGGGGGCCCGAAGCGGCAGGCCTGACCCGTCCTGATACCCCCGCCGCTTCCGATATATATATATATATATATATATATGTATATATATATACATATGAACATATGCAAGTATATGTGTATGTACATATCTATATATATATACATACAGGTACATGGGTGTCCCGGCACAAACTTCGATATATAGAGGTCGACGGATCGATGGGCAGCTGCGGGCGACAATGAGAAAATTGAAGAAACCACAAAAAGAACCCAGAACCATCGCAAATCGACTTCCCTCCCCTCAACTCCCTTATCACCGATAGGGTGGTGCTATCGGTATTCCTATTCATATACTTATCACCCTCCACCCTCTCCACCCCCCCCCCCTAAGCCAGACCCCCCCCGCAGGGATGCCCCAGACACCCTTAGGGACGTCTCGGTGGCCCCTAGGACGCCTTTGGAAAAAGGTCCGTTTGTTTTTCCGGGCCCCCCAGGGCGCTTTGTCAGGGCTTGCGAGC